AGTCCGGACGGTCTGTCTAGTAATAGATTTCGTATGATGTTATATGTTGAACTATATGCTTGTGTGGATTGGAATGTTTATTTTATATGTTGATGTATGAATTAAATTACATAAGTTTACCCTATCGTTTTTCCTTTGTGTTGTCTCTCGTCCCTGTACGTCCGTCCTGTCATTGCGATGATCATCCGCGTGGATGTGAGCAGAAGGTGAGGCTACTTTGGAGGACGTTATTGAAGAGGAGAACTTAGTCGACGTGGAAGTTAAAGACGAGCCCTAGAGCGCCCGTTTATTTTAGAGAATAGTTGTTTTAGTTTTGACGTTCGGTTTTTTGATTTTGTAAAACCGTTCGTTCTGAACTTTCGATACTTCTGTATTATGTATTTAGTTCTGTACTTTAAGCCGTTCGGCTTTTGAACCTTAATTTTAGTGTAAGACTGCATTGTTAACTGTTTAATGTAATTAATTCTATTATATATATCATCGAATATCCGTGATGATATCCGTATTCATTAAGGATATCTATTAATAATTATTAATGAATATTTTTGTCTATCCAATATCCAAATGTACATCTAAATGGTCTTATACGACAATTTAGATGAAGACTAATCCAAACAAATCGTTTAGGCACACAAGAATAGGGATGACATTGAAACATGTTCTTATGAGTATTCTTCAAACTCTGTTTCTATTTTGACGGAAAATTCCTACATTAAAAAGGTACGGATACTGGTATGAATAATATTCAGTTTTTTTTAATTGAGTATAAAAAAACAAGAATGAATATATACATATCCATCTCATCTCTCTCCCCATCTTCATCATCATGCTCGCTTAAAATAAATAAAACACATTTTATGCACACAGTAAGAATTGAACCCATGATCACCAATTCATAACAAGAAACTCTAATCATTTATGGTATTCATCACTTCTATAATACTTATATTTTATTATTTTAATTCATAATACTCAGATCCACCATCTTTCTAGATAATTACTTTTTTTTTTATCTTATCCCAACTCAACATTTTTCTTTTCGAAAATTGTACTTATTAAGAATCATACACCATGCAACTTCCCAAAAACTTAATAAATAGATCATATTACCACGTCAATATGACATAATAAAATACTTTTATTGCATAAAAAAAGTATATTATTTAATACGATATTATCTCTAATATAATTATATGATAACACGTATACTACCATTTATTATAAAACAAAAATACATAATTTCATGTTTTTATTCTTTTAAGTATTATAATATACCAAATTCTCCCATAGTAGTCACTTTAATAAAAAGAAACCAAAATCTCAAATTTACCAATCTTTTATAAAAATATATCTATTATACCACGTCTATTCAACTTTATCATAAAATCTAAATATATATATATATATATATATATATATATATATATAATATTTATTATAATATAATATATATTATAATACATCATGTACCAAAATTATTAGTACCCATAAATATTAATGCATCAACCCATAATTTAAGTGAAGATTTTTACAATTTTTTTTACAAATACTTAAAACAAAACCCACTGCAAATTTAAAACATGATTATGTGCTATGATCGTTGTTCATAAAAACCTCAAATTTAATATAATACCAACGTATAGTATTAAGTGAAATACCCACACAACCAGATTTTCTACTATCATAGCTAATAAAACAAATTCGCTAAGCACTAATGTCAAAATTACAATCACATCCAACTACAATTATCAAAAACTCTTAAACTTGTTAGCTCATAATCCTACTATTCTCTAAATTAAATTAACTTTTATAAAATCATCAATATGCTTAAACACTAATTCATCGAAACTTTATTTTCAAACCTTTATTTAATATCCAGTTTCCTTTCATATATAAAAATCAACGTCTTAAAATTTTAATTTACCTATCCTTTAAAATCATTTTTCATAAACCCCAATAAAATTACATAAACCCTAAACACATAAATTTTTCATAATATTATAATAACAACAATTTCGAACAGATAAAAAAAAATCACAAGACAACACATACTCACATAAAAATATGATTTAGTTAAATTCTCTTACAACATCACAACAAATTTCTCAATGTATTAAAAATCTTATAAAACAAAACCACAATCTAATCATATCAAACACAACTATAAATAGCAAAAAAACTCTTCAATAGAGACTAAATCAAATCTCTACGCATTTTCACATAATGCACAACAAGTTACAAAGATTCACAATAAAGACTAAATCAAATCTAAAACAATTTAAACATAGATTATCAAACCATATAAAAATATAAACAACATGACACTCATCCACAACAGTCTCAACCACAATTCATAACAAGCTACGTAGATACATGACAAAATTTAAGTTACATTTTTTTATTATAAATCTTTACTTTTTGTTATTTTCTATTTTTACAATTGTTTTTTTCCTTTTTCAAAAGAAATTAAAAAAATAGAGAAATCATAAATGTCAATCAGTTGTCTCTTTAAATATTTTGATAAATCTTTTTAAGAATAAATATTTTCATATATTTTCTTAAGAATAAGTTAGACAACTTATAAGTTGATTTGTTCTCCTTAATTTTATATTATAAGATATTTTGTAATTATGAGTAATAATTATTGTTCCAAACATTATTTACAAGAATAACAACAGTAAAAAGCAACAATCCGTTTTTTCATGACATGGTATCAATTAACCTTTTTTTTCTCATTCTTACTTGAGGTTTTCCTAGTATCGTAATTCTTGTTCTTGGTTTTGTGGCTTTCGTGGCCTCGCTCATCATTCTTCTTCACGATCCCAATTCATTGTCTTGGTTTGTGGTTCCTATCCGTCGCTCTGTTTGTGATTTCAAGCTTCTTGTTTTTTGCTTTAACAACGTTGTTGCTCGTTCTTTTGACAATCACCATGACTCCCCCAAAGAAAAACAATTCTTGTGTTCGCTTTACCGACAATAATTATTTTGTTTGAGAATTTCAATTCAAGATGTATGTTAAAAGGAAAGGATTATTGGGTAACTTTTGGATGGAATATTGTTGCCGCCCAAGGAGGAAGCTACCTTTGTTACATGTGAGGTGAAAGATGCTCAAATTATTTCTTGAATGCTTAGCATTATTGATTCCCAAATAATCAATAATTTGTGCTCTTGTACAACTGCTTAACAAATATGACATTATATGAAGCTCATTAACATCAAAGACAATACGACCAAGTGTTTTCAGTTGGAATGGGAGATAGCCAATTACAGACAAAACACTACCATTTTATATGTTGATGTTCCCCAAACTCTACGGTTTGTTTTTCAAGAAGTTTACAACACTAGTAAGCGCAATTAGTTTCTCATGAAACTTTGTTTCGAGTGTAAGGCTGTCAAAAAGTTCTTTCTTTAATAAGAGTCTTGTTCCATCTTTGGGTGCATGTGTTGATGAACTTCTTATGAAGAACAATGTTTACTTACCCAAGGATCCATGACTCATGATGCTACTCTTTTTGAACCTGCTCTACTATGTTGCCCACAATAAAAGTAAAGGTCATGATATGCGACAAGTCCAATGTTTTTCGTGCAAACAATTTGGTCATATCACTCGTAATTGTCATAAGAAGTTTTTCAATTATTGTAAGTGTTAAGATAAGATTGTCAAAAGAGACTAAATTGTTTAATAACTCAAATTTTGAAGTTTAATAAACAACATTTAACGAAATATCGTTTAGTGAAATATATTGTGCAAGCAAGGTGCATATCAAAACATATTTATTAAACACTTGTAAGATAAACAATGATTTGTTAATTATAAAAGAATAAACAATATTTGACAAAAGTACATCTCGTGAAAAAAAGTTGTAAACACTATGTATCTTATCAATTGATACTACTTTGAAAAGAACAGACTTAAGTAATATTACAAATCATGCTTCAACACACTATCAACATATAGAACATTAAATGCATGAACGTACTATACCTTATCTGCTCTATTTTTTCTCTCTTTATGTATGTAGATATTGACAATAGTAAGATCTACTCAAAAGCACTACACATGGATCAGAAAGATGTTGTGAAATATGAAGACATTCCTAAAATGTTTCCTTAAAGTTTTATATCCTGCCATAGCTGTACAAACTCTCATTGCGAAAGCAATGCTACTCTTTCCAAGGCGTAAAAAAGTACAAATCTTTGTACGAAAAGTCATATACTCTCAAGAAGGTCAATTCTTTTTAAATAAAGATATCTCTCGAAGAAAACTATATAAGAACTCACATAAAATAATAGAAGAGAATAAAAGAATGTAATTAATTTGAGGAAGGATGTTAATAAGTAATTAATTTGTCTTCTTAAATTTTTGATATGAATTCATACATTAATTTATGTCAAAATAGAAATTAATTTGTTTCCTTAAATATTTTAATATGATTTTTTAAAAATAAACTAGACAATTCATAGATTAATTTGTTTTCCTTAATTTGAGATTGTAAAATATCTTGTAATTATGAATAATAATTGTTGTAAATAGTGCTGTCATTATTTATAATAAGAATAACATTAATGAAAAACATTTTTCATGACAATACCAAAATTTGGATCCACATAGCTGAATGCCACCCCAAGGCTGAAAACCAAAGTTCACAATTGAGAATTCGGTTCATCAAGCCAAATTCTAAACTTGCGAAGTAAACATGTTTAATTTAAAAGATAAAATGCGGGATCTATTAGGGATTTTTTTAAAAAAAAAATTGGGTTTATTTCTGGAAAAAAAAATCCAATCTTGATAGACTATTATGTATGAAATTGCAATTCTTTACTCCTTCCCCAATTAGTGCAATTAACCTAGACCTTAGAAAAGTCAGGATTCCTACTAGGAGACAGACCTCCTACATCTAACAACTCAAATTTAATATGTTGAAACAATGAATTGTCGAAAATTGGTTAAACCAGCTACAGAAACCTCTTCAATATTTTCATACTTGTTCAACTAGTTTTAAAAGCACATTTTAATCCCAATGGGCGAGATGGACCAGATGGTTTAGAAGTTTCAAGATTTATGCAATTCATATAGATTTGACTTAACAAATCAGGCCTTAGAATGTTCTGTCTTAAATGAAGTCTGTTTAAGGCCAAATAAATAATAGGTAAGTAAAAAATATATCTTTCTTGCCGATCTGCTTGAGAAATTCCTTACAAATATTTAGCTTGGCTATACTATACTCTTAGAGCCAGGTAAACACTTTAATGCATAAATTTTAACAAGATCTGATCTGCTTTGAAAGTCATTAATCCAAAAGTAACATTTGGGCTCCAAGCATCTTTTAACTTTAGAATCGAGATGATTCGAGACAACTTCATGATGATACATGGAAAACCATACAACACAGGTACTATTTTAAACAAATTAACACAACTTACATATAGGCTAAAGCATGATTGCACCTACTTACTGAAATGTTGTCAAAAAAATCATTCCCAGACAGATCATAAAAATGAAAAACATGAAATAGATTAATGTTAGATGGCCACTATTGCATATTATCATGTAATTGCCTACAAGAAGAAACAGCCAGAAGGGTAATCCGAAGACCCTAAGAGAAGCAGATCTTTCAAATTAGCAAGATGAAAATGTGAAGACTTCTTTGGTATCTGGAAAGTTTGATCATAGTTGGTGCCACCTTACAACTAATTAGATAGAACATCAGTGTTGTCATGTCGCTGTTTGTCTTGTAAAATGACCAGCATTATGCATGTGTGATACTACTGAGTGAGGAAATTTTCATCATTACTCATTAATAAGTGGATATATAGATAAATGCACAATAACTACTTTTCCCTGGTGTTCTTAGAGAATTGAAAGCAGTAGCCATTACGATGGAAAAGAAAATACGTGGGTTAGTGAAGGCTTGAACCAGAAACAGAATCATTATGGAGGCTTCAACCAGTAACACAATCCCCTAGTCTTAAGAAACTGGGTAAGAAGCCATCAAGCTAGTAAGCACAATCTTTGACTCTAAAATAACCCTGTCCAGCATTATAAGCACAAGCATAAATGTACCAGATAAAATCAACTGCTAATAACTTTGACTTCCAGTAAATTAATTGTAAAAGAGACATAAATCACTCCACAATGCCCTGTGTTCCAGACAGACATATTGATCTCTATTGGGACCATTGTGGAGAAATAAAGACGTATAATATTTGACAGAGAAGATAAAAATGTTTTCTGGTATGTTTCTTTCTAGGTTAACATTCATCTTAATAGATTTTTTCACAACAAAGCCATAATCAACTAAGCATTATAATTGTAAAGATATCGCTTGCATTATAATCAACTTATGCCAAAAAATGAACTTACCCTCATTAATGTGAGAAGTACAGACTTCAAATGCAATAATAAATAGAATAAACAACTAGCAGCACGCTATGCAACTATTTCTGTAGACTCTTCCATAGTAGAAACCATTCAGAGTTTATCTCGATCATTATATATTTCACAATCTGCAGGCAGATCAAACATGTAACCATGAATCCATAAACCAGGTGAACAAAAACAATAAACAAGAAAATGCAATTAAAAAGGTTAAACATTGTTTTTAGGAATGAATAATAAATAATACATATACGAACATAGTAATAGTCCTTTTACATGTCAAGCAATCCCAAACTGCCATGGATTGTCAGTTTGCTCACTTTTTCATAAAGAATGATATTCATTAAAGCTTTTTGATTGAAACCACATTACATAACCACCTCTGACTTAAAACCAAAATCTTAAAGAGAATATAAGTTTATTGGTCTGTGTCCTTTGTTCACTGCTAACTTACACATTTGGATTCCCAATACATTTCCATTTCCATACACAAAAAGACCAAAGGTAAACATTTTCCCCAAAAGCATGTTTAATCTTGACTAAAATGAGTAAGCAAAAGTGTGTGAACTAATGAATATCCAAACATAAAAATTAAAATGATTAAAAGTGGAAAATAAAATGAAATGAAACCTCTTTCAGATTTGTTGAGTAATCTTGACCCTCTTGTTAGACCCAAACGCCCTCCCAATGGAATCAACGATCCTCCGCTGTGAATCCACAATCATCTGGATCCGCTTCTTCTCCATCTCCAACCTACACCTTTCAGTTTCCTTCATCATTTCCATCTTCAAACTCTCCATTCCAATAAACCTCTCAGCGAAAGCCCTAATCTCCGCCGGCAACGCCAAAACATAGTCGTCGCGATCGTCATCGTCGTCTTCGTCTCGTTCTTCTTCCGCACGCTCCCTCAAAAACCCTCTTTCACCGCTTTTCATTCTCACGGGCCTCTCGCCGAGAATACAGTTAATACTCTTCGACTTCACAAAGCTCTCATCGCCATCATTGCCGTTCCGATAAGTGCCATCGTCGTCGGGATCTGAATCGGTGTCGTTTTGGAACGGGGCGAGGGCGGAGATGGGGAGGGGGCCGCATTCGAGGTCCTCCATGAGAGCGTTGTACTGCCAGGCGGCGGGACGGAGCGTGGCGGCGACGTGTTTCTTTTCGGCGCGGTGGCGCTGGCGGAGCTTCTCCATCTTGTGGCGGCACTGGAGGGCGGACTTGGCGGGGTACGCGAGGTCGTAGCCGCAGCGGGCGGCTACGATCACGGCGACCTCCTCCCACTGGTTGTGGCGGAGTGGGCCGCGCTTGAGCGCGTACCACTTCTCCTGGTAGGCGCGGATGAGGTGGACAGTTTCTTGGTGGGTCCAGGGGATGGGTTGAGGCTTCTTGGTCGGCGAAGCGGCGTCGTTTGGGGTGGCCATGATGAGAGAGGGTGTGGTGTGGGGTGGTGTGTGTGGTGGGTGTTTTGGGTTTATAAAGGTTGTTATTATTGGAGTGGGTGTGAGAAATTGGAGTGGTGGGTGTAAGGAAAGGTGTTGGTGGGTTTGGTTGACATTTGGTGGCGGCGGTTGGAGTGGAAGGGTGGGTTGGGGTGGTGACGGTGGATAGTCATTCCATCCATCATATTCTTCACCATGGACACATGCTGCTGTGGTAAAAGATGCTACACCCCATATTACATTTATGCTTTAAATTTAAATATTTTATTATGTGATATAAATTTTGTAATTTTGTGTAGTTCCTGTTAATTAATTTGGCTGTTTTATCATCTCACATATTTCTTGGAGAGATTTCGTTACAAAGTATCCTACACAGTGTCCAATTATTAATCAAAAATTGCCAACACATAAAAAAGCACTCAGGAGATTTTCCTATTGTATGTAGTGAGAGACTACAAATTGTATCATATGAACAACATTGATTATCCAATAGAATGAGATGAAGAACAATAATATTAGGAAGTATTATAATTAAAGGCTTGAGTTCGAGAGATTGATTTTAACTAATCATATAGAATATATTATTTACTAAATCTTTTAAGTAAGATATTAATATAACCATCAATAATATATATATATATATATATATATATATATATATATATATA